GCTTGGCAACAACACGCGTGACATCTCGGAGGCTGGGGAGACCTGCACCCTCAAACGTGGCACCAGCAAGCTTGCCCAGAACCTGGAGCCGGTCCCGCTGCCGGCAAATCGCTTCATGAGTTCCTGAGGGACGGGGATCTCGCCAGCAGCTCTCTTCACTGTCTAGTCGGCGACACGGTTTCCCTTCCATGCCCAGAACGGGGCCCCAAGGTTCAGGGCCCGCGGCAAGGACTCATGAGCAGGGACCTGGGGCCCAGGCCAGCACCACCGACTCACAATCGCAACCCACACCGCGCTCCTCAGGACCCGAAAGTCTGAGCGCCATCCGAATGGCGAAAACTTCCGAGCCATATATGGCATGCACCGCGCGCGGCAGGGTTCCGCGACCCTTCGCCGGAACCTGACCTGCATCATTCAGCACTGCAAAGGACCACTGCTGTCGTGGATAGCGGAAGCCCAGGATGCGAGGCCGATCCGTCCGTGCGCTGACGTCATCACAAGACTCCATCTGGCGGCCGAACCGCCCACCTGATGCTGGACGAGTGCTCGAGGCGTAGGGTCGGAGGTTGGGGGGTGAGATAGCAACGAAACGGAGACCCCCCACCGGGAAATCGGTTTCGGTTTCGTGTTCGTGTCGTGCGTGCGGGCGAGGCGAAGCTGCGCGTGATCCTCCTGTAGCTAGGCCGAAGTAGGAGCGAAAGTCCGTTCCCGTCCGCCTGTGGCTGGGAGGTGTCCCAATTGGGCCGAGCGGTGTCCCAAGTGTCCCGTGGTGTCCCGTGGTGGCCCGTGGTGTCCCGTGGTTTCCGAGGTGTCCCGTTGAGTGAGATCAATAGTGAGATCGATAGAGAGATCGACAAGTGCCCTGTGGTGTCCCGTGGTGTCCCGTTGAGTGAGATCGATAGTGATATCGATGGTGAGATCGATGTGGTGTCCCGAGGGGTCATGTGGTGTTCTATGCTGTCCCGTTGAGTGAGATCGATAGTGAGATCGATAGTGAGACCGATAGTGGGGTCAAGAGATGTCCCGCGGTGTCCCGTGGTGTCCCATGGTGGCCCGTGGTGTCCCGTGGTGTCCCGTTGAGTGAGATCGATAACGATATCGATTGAGTCAGATGTTGGTTCCCCGTTGAGTGAGATTGATAGTGAGATCGATAGTGAGATCGACAAGTGTCCCGTGGTGTCCCGTTGAGTGAGATCGATAGCGATATCGATTGAGTCAGATGTTGGTACCCCCTCCTTTCTTCCACCACCACCCCACAACCTCCGTATCACCCGAAGGGTGGTCGTATAGGTATACCGAGCAGGAGAGTGCAAGAGGCTACGAGAGAGACACTGGCCATCCTCGCACGCGCGCCTGCCTCAGCCCAAGGCCTGCCGTCCCGCGGCTCGGTGCCGAAGGCCAGCCCCCTGCGGCCTGCCTCATGCCCGTCGCACGCGACGATTCGGCGTTGCGGCGTTCTCTGGGCCCCAAGACACAGCTGGCACCTCGGACCCACAGCCCGCATGTCCTGGAGCAGAACAGGTTGCGTGACCAGGCGGCCGGCAACAGGAGTGGCAAGGAGGCTCGTTTGCAGGCCGTCCCAACGGCGGCAGAAGGTGGCGCGTGCCTCGGCAGCGGCGTCAAACTGCGAGTGGGAACGCTCGTGGTCCCGATAGCGCAACTGGAGCTCTCCTGGCCCAAAAAAAAACCTTACTGTGCCGTGGTGAAAGATTGCCCCATTTTGAGAGGTCGGCAAGAATTTGCATCCTGCGTCCGCAATGCGAGGACGCGACGCCAGTCGCCCCGCTAGGGACGTGGAGCCTGGTGCAGTGTTACTGGGGAGGTGTCTCGCAACTGGGGCGGAAGGCATTTTGGGGTTTGGTCCATCAATTGAAACTGGAGTCAACTAAACGGGATGGTGGTTCGAAAACGGCAAATCGCGTGGGACATCCTCACCACAATGGTAGTCTTGACGATTCGATCGGAAGGTTACTTCGCTAGGCCTGGACCCCCTCCTGCCACAGAGGCATTCGGATGCGTCGCAGCCGTCACTTCGGCGACGCCGAACAAAAGACCGAACTCTCATCGCGCCGATGTGGCGCAAGGGTCAGCAAGGCTCCGCAGCGCCACCCTTGCGGCCCTGCTCTCGAGGTCCAGGATGGCCCGAGGGGAGGGGCTGCCGGCGCCGCAGCTCTGGGGACCCCCCCCCCGCCGACGCAGCGTCACGATGGCGGCACCTGCTGGTCCCCGTGGCGGCGGACCAAACGAACTCGTCGGCGATCCCCCGCCGAAGCAGGGCACACCAGGCGCCCTGGGCCCCCAAACAGACCCGGTCGAGGGCGCCCTGGGCCCCCAAAAAGACGAGGTCGCCCCAGCGCCCTGCGCCCCCCCCAAAGCCGAGGGCGCCCTGCGCCCCCCGTCGCTCGGACGTCCACTCCCTGTGTTTTTGCTCGGTCTCGTGCGCGGCTTCCTCGCAGGGTGATCCAGGCTGCTCCTCAACTAACTACCTACCAGACCACCC